AAAATCAACAACGTTCGTTACAATTTGAAAGACTAAGTACACATATATAGTTACAACAATGACAAATATAAATGAATGTTAATAAAGCTAACTTTCACAATTTTGGATTTACCATAGTGGGTTCAAATAAGGAGCCAACAGTATAGAGCTATTTTAATAAAACTCATAACCTTTTTTATACTAATTTAAATAATAATAATAGTGAAATGATAATGAAACAGAATGAAATTGGTATCTATTGCTCTGATTCCCTAAACAGTATCATTAAATGACAGGAACTAGTTTTTGGAGGTTTTTTCAGTAGTAATTATAAAAGCTCCTTTTACATCTTGAAATGTTTGTTATTTTTTAATTGGAAAACAAATAAATAATTATTTCGTTGGGAAAAAAAACGTGATCACCTCATATAAGAGATTAGAAAAGGTATATTAGATTGTACATTACCTTTAAAGAATTAGCAAGAAACTGTGCACCTTTCTCTGTGATATCATTACACATTAGATTTAATTCTTCTAACAAATTATCTACCTTTTGAAAATGGATAAATATAAAAACAGTAAGAATGTAGAAATGTATTACTTGACTTCAATTATTTCAATGAACATATATAATTGAATGCTGACATAAAACCAGGCTGATAAATAAAAGTACAATTTTTTTAGCAAACGGGCAAACTGATTAAGATTTCAATCTATTATTATAATTAAAACTATTCAAGTAAAATATACTGATCAAACTTATATGAAAAGCTTGGACAATATTTGTTAATAATTTCAACTTTACAATTCCAATTAAAGTCGTATATATATTTGTGATAATACGAGCTGTGATCTTATTAAATATATATCTAATAAACTCACTTAGTTCAATATTTGGGATTCATCAAATGAATATGTGCCTCCATCGTAGTGTTAATGTTGACATAGAAGTTGAAACCTAGTGTATTGGAAAACTGGAATACTATTCATTAGCCTTCTGTTAAGATACGATAACTGTAGACTTTTTTCAATGGGCATGATCTTATTCATTATTCGTAATGGTTTGTACTTTTTTCTCTTTGTTAGTATTCAATGTAGAATTAACAAGTGTTGATAATCAGCAACAAAAGAATTCAAAAGCTAATAATTAATAGTTGAAATATCTGTATTTAATAACAAACTTATAACTTACATTTAAGAATTCACATAATATTTCGACTCCTTCATCTTTAATAAAATTGTAGCGTAAATCCAACATTGTAATACATGGTTTAAGGGATAAAGCCATACACAACGGTGGCAGATCAACACTAGTCAATTGAATGGCATCCAAATGATGGTTATTGCCACAGAGTTTTAAATATATTGCGAATAATCTATCATCACTATAACACAAGTAGAATATTAATAAAAAAGGAACGTTACTCATTTTAAACAATCTTCCATAGCCAAACAAAAAGCACTCCTTGGAACCCATTTGAGGTTGCTGCCACTGAACGGTTCGAGCATAGGATCAGTAACTCCACCTCGTAAAAAGATAACCCCATAAAAACACGCCAACCAGAAAAAATCATTTGAACTTCCCCTGAAAGTTCAAATGTCTTCACATGGAAGATTTATAAGAGCTAATGACGAAAGTGGAAAATCTTTGGGATCCATGGAGCCGATGCCATTCTGACAACTAAAGGAACAACTAATATAGGTACATGAAATATTCAGATGATGCAGGAGACCAGAAAGGTAATTCAAATAGCGACGGATACGGAAAGACACATCATGCCCCTGCTTGGGAAACTAATTCAATGTAATTTGGACGACAAAAATTGACTTGAGGAGAGCTGTTGCTGTATCCTGTTTACGAGGCAGAAATTGCTTTCCTCACACAAACAAGGAGCCCCACTACTGGTATCTTGCGCAGCATAAAACTACCCTATAGGTTGACAGCCTCACACCTTCGTGGTCATTCGACCATCCTCCAAAACGAAGTAGAGGAGAATCCAAATGGATATCTGTCAGGGCTAAACCCCCAACAATGAAGGTAGTGTAAACAAGAATAAAAAATTTTACGAGAGGCTGCAGTTCGTCCTAGAGAATTACCTGGGAAAAGGTCAGACCATTCTGATGAGCGACTTAATGCCAAATTTTGGATTGATAGCCCTGAGAGAAAGAGATGACAACTACAAGAGTCTGATAGATCGAAATGCTTTCAACACAATTGTTATGAACAACAGGATTCTGAGTTACAATCGCGTGAAAAAAGCTTCATAAGTTTTACCAGATCACATTGAGGCAAAGTAGATCGACTAAATATGCATGTGTAAAAAAATCAGAAGAATAATCAAAGACGTAAGAATAAATAAAGCTGATGAAGTTTAACATTACCGCCTGTTGATGCCCAAGGGACAGACTGAATATTTCGGAGAAAGAAAACAAACGAACAAGAGTATTAGAGCTAATGAGTAGAAATACGTAGGACACCTGATCATTACAGAAGCAAGAGCAAAAAATATGAGAAAGTTAAGTTTAAAGGAGGAATTACTGCAGTGAGGTTTCACGTTCTCTTCTTAAATAACTCGAATGAAGAACACGTACCAACAGACTAAAATGACGGATACCCCATCAAGATACAGAAGAAAGAAGATTTTAGTGAGTGTGGAAACTGTAGAGGCACTACACTTTTTTCAGTACTAAGTAAATTTTTCAACAAAATATTACTTAACAGAATGAAAAATGTTGTAGATGTCCAAATTTGATATCAGCAAGCTGAGTTTTGTGACGATAGATAATGTACCACCAAATCACAATATTACCGATTATTGTTGAACAACCAAATTAATGAAATCTATTGCTAAATGTCAACATCCTTGGTTTTAAAAAAGCATTCGATAATGCATATGAGAAAACCTTGCAGTTTTTAACACCATGGAGTACCTGAGCAGATTGTCACCATCGTATCGAACTCATGGGAGTGGCTGCATTACATGGAGAACAGTCCACAGGTGCATTACAAGTAAAGGCTAGTGTCAGACTAGGCCGTTAACGTTTGTCTTTTTTTTGTCTTGCTCACTGTTGGCTGGATCATGAATATCTCTACAGCTCAAAGGTAGGATGAAATAAGGTGGATACCCTGAGTAAAGCTGGATTATTTAGACCTCGTAGATGACTTACTCTGGTATCTCATAGACACCAACCAATGCAGACGAAAATACCCAGCATAGCAGCAGCTTTAATAGAAGTAGGCTTCATCATTCACAAGAGCAAATTTCTGAAGTACAATACAATGAGCATAAACAAAACCGAAGCTCTAGAAGTTTCCACGTTCCTGGGTAGCATCGCTGATAACCCAGGAGGATCTGATGGGGATAGGAAGGCACAAATTCAAAAGGAAAGTGCAACATTCCTACAATTGAAAAACATTTAGGACTTAAAAGAACCGTCACTTAAGGCCAAAGTTGGAACTTCCAACTCCAAAGTCAAAACAGTTCTATGGTACGGAGCTGAAACTTAGAGAACTATCACAATTATTACCAAAAAGGTGCAGGCATTTGAAAACAGATGACTAGACAAAACGCTCCATGTTCATTGTCCAGATATGATCAGCAATAATCTAGTCTAGCAGAGAAAAGAGCCATCTGTTAGGTGAGGAAGGAATTAGGAAAAGGATCTAGAGGTGGATAGGATAAATTTTGCGGAAACCATCAAACTGTATCACAAGGCAAGCCTTGACCTAGAGTCTTTAAGGCGAAATAAGGAGAGATAGACCAAAGAATACACAGTGACTGAGATTCTGAAGACACACTAATACCCTGAATGGCACTTGGTAACAAGTGGGAAGGGAAGGAGAAGAACGAATTGTTTGTAGATCCCTGCTTGGTGATCTACGAGTAGTAAAAAACCTAAATATACTGATAAATAAAACAAGTGTGGCATTTTAAGAGGGCTAACAGGCTTAAACAAGTAGATAAGTATGTCAAACAAGAAAGGCACACTATTTATATCTAGGTTGAAATATAAAATATAAACACTTAATTTGAATGGCAGACCAGGATTTTATTCACAGATAGAAGCTTTATACTATTTACTGAGTGCTTAAATATAAAGATCCTATTTTACATTTCACAAGTCCACCTATTTTGAAATAAACTCAAAAACTCCACGTTACTTAGACTTTAAGTGATTTGCTTGTATCCACTTTCTATTTATTTGTCTCTCTTCTCACACCCATGTCGATGAGCCACCTTAAGTATTTGACAGACGTTATTATACTTCTTACATTCCTCTTGATTAACTTTCTCATTATGATCATGCTTGCAACCAGTTCAGGTACAAGATAGAGTGGGCTGGACGGATGGGAGATAATAAGGAATACAGAGTTATGATTGATTAGAATGATGAAAGTTCTTTTTACCCAAAAGGGAAATTTTCGATGCGGATGAAATAATTAAAGAAAAGTCCAACTCCAAAATACGCTTAGATAGTATTTAAAAATAGAAGAAAATGCTTTCACGGAATTCCCTAACGTTATTAAACTCCTCATTATTCGAAAACTAAAGGGTAACTGTAATAACACTCGTTAATGATAAGTATCAGCCACAGCTACCAGATAAGACTGATTGGCAGTGCCTGTAGCTTTTTCTGCGTCTTACAATGTATAATGAATAGAAAACTAAAAAATTCATTTCAAACTTCGTTTTTTCTGTTTCCTATTGGTAGATAGTGGTACGTAATCTAAAAATAATTATCAGAATGAGTTTTGTGGAGATTTTAGGAAATTTCACAGGTTAAAATCATGAGTCAGTTGAAGCTAGACCACCATTGAAAACCTGGAAGCACTGGACGGCCGTCTCGTCCTAGTATGGGACTCCTCAGCAGTGCGCATCCACGAACCCGCCCTCCGCGGGATTCGAACCCAGGGCCTACTGGCTTCGCGCGCGAGCACTTAACCATTAGACCACTGAGCCGGCATCCAACGGTGTTAATGTCGTGGATGCGCACTGCTGAGGAGTCCCATACTAGGACGAAACGGCCGTCCAGTGCTTCCAAGTTTTCAATGGTGGTCTAGCTTCAACTGACTCATGATTTCAACCTGTGAAATTTCCTAAAAATAATTATTCATGCAATTTCCGAGTTTGCGGTATAGTGCAATAGAAAAAAACAAGACTGTTAATCACAAAATAATTGACAGATAGGCACAGAAAGCTAACTTTTTATCTAATTCATATTCTATTCTCATCATTTTACTTATAAAACTTGATGCCGGTGTCGGTTTGTTTTGTAAGCAATCCACATAAGTTGATGCTAATTCTTTCAAATTCTCTAGGTTTAATTCTGTCGATACATCACTATTTCGTTTCATAATGAATGTTTATTTTGAGGTTATAGTTGAATGAGTCCAAATTTCGATAATGATGATTGTGAAGATAAGCTGTAAAAAATAAAGACAGCTTATGTAATCATTATAACTCCAAGTTATATTGTCTATATGAGTGTTTCAAAAATGAAGTGGATTAAAAGAAAAGTGGTTTTTCGACCAACAGCTTCAAATTTTACAAAACGTACGATTCAAACATTGTATTTAAATATATCTGGAATTTTTTAATATTTTAGTCATACTTTGCGTTTTAACACTTATTCTACATCACTTTTAAAACTTTATTCACTAAAACACCATACAATCTTAAGACAGTATTTTCGTGGCTATCCATGAAAACTTGGAATTTTCAGCATTTACTTGTCCGACTATTTCTACCAAGAGATCCAAGTTGAGCAAGTACGTATAGTAAAAAATGGAGAAGAATGTGGAGCAGACACAAAACAAAAGCAGAATAGAAATATGGAAATGAATAAAATTATTGTTATAGAAAGGAGATATACTTTTCAGAAGTCGATGGATCGAGAACAAGTCTATATCCTTTATGATACAAATTATAATCTCTCAAGCCCTAGTATTTTTGGCTCTGAATGGAGGCTAATGGAATGTGATAGAGATTAGAAAGTGATTTTATATTTAAAGGCTACACTAATAATCGACTCACTGATAATGTAAAATACTTCAGAATAATATACATTTTTACTTGATTGTTGAGATAATTGTGAGTACCTAACTCTTTAAAGATGAATGATCACTTACTCTTTGTTTTCTGACATTCAATTAACGGTAAGTTTAGTTAAAAACTGCATGAGAAATCCAAATTACGCCTCTATATCAACTGAAAGTACGCCGACTTTATATACCTAGTGTGATTCAAGATTGAATGTTCGATCTCGATGACAATGTCTTGACTGAGAAAGACGGATTTAGAAGTTATCAGCATGGTAACAGAAACTTTAATCTTGTTGTTTCTGTCGATGTAGTTTCTTGAATGATGGCTGCTTTCCTCGTTATATTATTAAAGCTGGCCGTGCTTGTAAAATACCTCCTTCCCTAAAAAATCTTCGACGCGTCACGAAATCACAAATTGAATGTACCAAGGAACTTATCTCCAAACTTAAAACAGAATCACTTGGTTATGACAAAATTGTTATGGATTTAAACATTGTATGTAGAATCAAACTCATGAATTTCGTTCACGATGTTCAGTCCAAAACCAGTCATAAATTCCTAAAGACATTAACCAAAACACTTGTGAAAGAACAAAAACATAACGCCTTTTCTACGAATCCAGAAAAATATGTACAGAATTTATCCAGTAAAAAACTAACTCGAATTGAAACTGAAGCACTCTCCCTTGGATTTAAATTTCGCATCCCGAAAAAATGTAACAGAATAGACACTGAAACCCAGTTTTAGTATTTATATCAACAACTGTCAGAACTTAAACCCATGAACGATGAAAAACATAGTTGGTTGAAATTGAAATTAGTTGACATTACAAACCAGTACATAACGACACCAACCCCACAATCGAAGGTGTTGACTAAAGATCACCAACTAGCATTAAAAAACTTGTGAAAGATAAAACAATATTGCTACTTCGTCTAGATAAGGGTTCCGGTGTAGTCGTTCTTAACAGAGATGAATACATTAGCAAAATAATGTCTACTTTAAATGATTCCACTAGATTTATCATCGATAATGCCCAGAAAGACTTAACAGAGACGACAGAGAAGCGACTTTTAAAAAAATGGAAGGAACTCCTGAAGGAAAATCTAATAGATAATCATACATACAATGAACTTGAACCTAGAGGATCACAATTACCGTACTTATACGGCCTACCCGAAACTCACGAGCCCGACATCCCGATTACACCAATATTATCCACGACTAATTCGTCCTTCCATAAACTCGCCCGTTGACTGACAAAGTGCCTAGAACCAATCCGAAAGAAACTAACACCTTTCAGTCTAAAACATAGTTTTGAATTCGTACAAAAGTTCGACAACCTAAATGTTTCCGATAAATCTATGGTTTCATTTGACCTCATCGCTCTTCACAAACATCCCCTTGGAAGAAACGATAGAGATCATATGTGAATATCCTGAACTTCTACCTCTACCAATCCATGATTTTAAACAGCTTCTCTTTTTGTGTACAAAAAACATACAATTTCAAGTCAATAATGTCCTTTACCGTCAAATTGATGGAGTTGCCATGGGCAGCCTGTTGGGCCCAATTCTCGCCAATATATTTATGGGAAACCTGGAACTAAAAAAGCTTAAGCATGCAATCGATGGTTTTGCAATGTACTGTAGACATATTGATGACACATTCCTCGTCTGCAACAATCATGAGCACGCCATTAGACTACTTGATATGTTTAATAAATATATAATATAATATATAATTGTAATTCAGTTATTTACACTCATTTATGTCAATTGTTTCTCACTATCTCAATGTAAAAATTCTATCACATTTTTTGTTTGTAAGCAGCTGTTGAGAAACCTCGAAATATTATGAATTCATACTATTCTGCACCAGTATTTGTTTGTGCTTTATTTAAACAATCACAACTTTAAAATAGCATTTGCATAAGTAAATAGTTGGCCTTCAACTTGAAGGAAATTTGATGAAGGTGGTAATAAGGACTTTTCATGTTGTGCACTGAATGTGCAATAAAGTAAAAGTAATAAAAGGATGATATAGAAGAATAACTTTAATAAATTGCACCTAGGATGATTTTTGGAGCTTTTAAGTTACATTCCCACGGGTGACTGTATAAATTCAATCTACTCCCTTTGCAGTGTATACTACCTAAGTTGGAAAATGTTAGCAGTATGTAACTCCAATCAGAATTGGAATACCTGGGAGCAGAAAATTAAATTGAAGAGAACATGAATGTCAAAAAGCGAGCAGCTGTAATAAAAAGAGTTGAAGGAATCATTGGGCGTATAAAATACAACTGAAGAAAGATGTACAAAAAATGTATTTAATGTACGGTTTTCATATTTTACCAACGCACTCTGTAATTTCGCATTAATCAACAAATTGGTTAACCCCAGCATTTCTTTGTTTAACACAACTTGTTGTATAGGAGTTTTAGGAGTGGCTTGATTGTCGTCGTCAGATCATATAATTATTTCTTATGTCTTCCGGGACGAAAAATTTAGGAAGGCAAAAGAGCTAATAAACCCATAACTCGTTACTTGTCAGCTGATTATCAACTCTCATCGAACCGCTAACAAATAGAACTATCCACTTCGATGCGTATTTTAAGCGTCATCTGTCAACACATTCAAAATGAAACTGAATCAGCTGAAAAGTTTCCTTTGCCAGCACTCTGGCTTTACCAAACTCAAACTGCTATAAACATAGTCAAAAAATGCGATCTCATCTTATAACTGTTACGAACTCAGACTCAGCAGGAAAATATAAGCAAAATTGAGAGAAGAAAAACAGAAGGTTAGGGAAAACATGAAGGAATATGTGTCTAAAAATTTAATGAGGAAAAGGTAAACCGATTTGTTACGTATACATAAAAAAACCAAAAGTTGAAAAGAATAAAACAAGAAATTATGAAAGCCAGAAGTCGCTTACTGTTTTGAAGAATATACATGCTGAAAGAAATCGGAAGCTCAAAAGTTTCTAATCACAAAATGGTATTTATGAATGTACAATTTACATGTCTATGTTAGACAGTTGCAGATGTTCATGCTCAAGACAGATGATTAAGGGTCTGAGTTAGTCTTTTCCCAGCATTCTTCTGAGCGTTTCGGTGAGACTAAGATTTATGGAAGACCTTTGAGCGACGCTAAAGCGGCCTTGATAATGTCCACCTACTGACTAAACTAAATGAGGGTTTCAAACCAAAGTGAAGGATGAGGATTGTGATTTACATTTGATGGGTAAGGATTAGATCTAGTGGTTTCACCACAAACTAACATAATCTAAAACGTCAAGACGTTATTAAGTCAAATGGATAAAGAATTTAGCGCCAAAATCCAAGAACTACCACCACAAATCTGATTGTTTCGTCCACAAATTATAGTCTGGCCGTGGAAGTGGATCACCAATGCCTCCAGGCAGGAACCCAGCTATATTAATGATAATAGAGGAAAAAGAAATTGGTAACTCATAGTAAGAAATTATCCTTAGTCGTTAAGAATAGGTCGTTTTCTATTAAAGGATTTGTGGAGAGTCGCTTAGAATAGCTCATCTGGAAGCGAGTTCCAGCATTTGATAACTCTTAAGGAGTAAAAGTTGTGCATACAGTCCGTTCTGCTGTGTTGTGTTTCCAGTTTCTGGGTGTCACCCCTTGGATTTGTGTTGGAGCTAAACTTAAGTAAGTGTTTAAGGAGATTCCCAGGAGTGTTAAGGATACTGTAAGCAATAAGAAGGTTACCTCTAAGATGCTTGTACTGTAATGGGTAGAGGTTTAGGGATTGAAGGAGCTCTTCATAAGGCTTTAATTTGAGTCCATGAACTGATTTCGTGGCTCGCTGATAACCATGAACAAAGCACATTAGGGTCAGGAGATAAAAATGGAGACTCTAGCAAACAAGAAATGTATATGTTAGGATTATAATCAGCCGTATTCGTTTTTTTTCATTTATAGAGTTGGTTAACAAAACATGTAAAATTAATATACGTGCGGGGTCAAACATTATTGTGAATAGCTATAAACACAGAAAAACCCAGCAATGTATCTTTATTATCGCTTCCAAGTACCAAGATATGGTATAAGGTCTTTGGCAGAGTTCAATAAATACAGTGAAGCTATTCGAATGCAGTAGTCGTGGTTAGGACTTCCACTACTGTACGATATATAAATATGTCTTTCATCTATACAAATCTTTTCGCCCAACAACAGTAAAAACACGTAAAACGTTATGAACTGAAGTCTTACGTATGAAAGGATATTGGTCGAGAAATGAGCTAACAAAAGAAATTCGATAACTGAACAATTTCAAAAGTCCGCGTTTGCTCGTCATGACGACGAATAAAATATAGAAATTAATTATCACTTATTCTTTACACAAAATACGATGACGAATTTAAAGCTATGCTATTATTATTTTATGTTGTTTTTGCGGACGCAAACCTTGACAAGTTTTCAAGTTTGTGCGTTACTGCGTAAACAAATTGTCGAAATAATTCAAAGCATCAAAGACTTGAATAAAAAAACCGGGTTTGAACGGAAAGGTCTATTATATTGTCACCTTTTATCTGAAACGGCCTTCACTGTCCAAGCTCACTTAATCTTGGTGAAAGACTTGGTTTAATGCCTTATAAATATTTGTGAGTTCGATGAATGATCTATTTGTTGTGTACAGAAAATCCAGTTTTAATTAAGTATTTTTGGTCAGCCATGATTTTATAAGCCGTGTTCATTTTGATAGCTGTCTTTAAAACGTATGTATAACTAAGTTTTACATATCTTGATTGTCAGTAAGATTTGGTCGTAATCTCTATATCTCATAACTTAAGACGTTGGTTTAAACGTTTTTATCGGACTAGTTACTACTTCTGACATCTCATTATTCCAGTTGTCAGACCTTTTGCGCTATTGGAATAACAAGGTTGAATTTTTATTAATTACATTTATATAATATTTTCAACCCTGAACTTATGAGTTCTTTGTTTTGTAACCAGTTTGAACGCAATATATGGATTTTTTGTGCATCATGCACTAGAATTCGACCTTTTTGAATCAAACTGATTATTTGCATTTAACAACAGTCCCAAGTAAATTGCATCTGAAAACATATTTTCAAGGTCCTTCTCTTCTTAAGGTTCTGTAAATACTTGACTGTTGGTTGAAAAACATTTATAAGAGTTCAACGATGATGGTTGAAAAACATGAGAGTCACAATGACATTAAATTCAGACGAAGTTAAGGAGAAACAAGGATAAAAAATAATAAACTGAAGCAAATACATATAAAAACCAATATTTATCCTAACCACACTGTTGCTCTACTTGATGTAAGCATTTTGTAACTTTATGACTAGGCTTCCCTTTAAAGTCGTTTACCGATAGAGTTGTGACCATTCTATATGATCACGCAGAAACACGGAACCCGAGTTGCATAGAATGAAGTTCCATCCATTCCTACACTCTTTGTCGAGGTCTAGTATTACCTGTTCCCTGAAGTGTATACACAAATGTTCCTGGTCGTTTTATTCCTGGTAAGGTAGTTTAAACTAGTCAAAGTGTTATAAGCCAATCACACTTCTATAGTAAGTATAGTAAGTCAGTTGAAATGTGTTAATACTTGCAGTGTTTTACAGTAGAGATTTATTTTTCCCATGAGTGTTCACCGACGAGACTGATGCAACTCGTTTAGGTTAAGAGATTCCATTTGTTGACCACTGAAAACCATAGCCCCGCCCTAGGTTAATCTAGTCGCAATACTTGAACCCTTTTACGGTTCCCTTGAAGATGATTGGTCTTAGAGGAGCGATAACAGATGATATACGGAGGCCTAAATCAGTTTTAAGTCACCTCATTTCTTACGATTAGAGGAAGGAGAAAAGATCTGAGCGTTTTAAAGTCACCTTCCGTGTGCCCACTTGATAAAATTATTCTGGAATCGTAAATATTTGAAGGAAGGTAGGGAACTTTAGACTATACTTCCCTTCAGTCAGTCTTTCGGATAACACGAAACCTCATGGATTATTGCTGTGTTCAATAAAAGCTCAAAATTTTCTGATATTTAGGATATCGTTACTCTCAGTTGTCTTCTCTACAGCCTAAAACTTTAAGTAAACTAACTTTATCCATACTACTGAGTTTCATGGAAGATTAGCTGTATGAGACAAGAGCAAAAATAAACAAAAAGTGACACACCAAAGCCACTAAAGCAAATTTACTGCTCGTTTAACGTAGAACTTCTTGTAGAACTTGATATTTCTTAAAAAATTTGTGGGCCATAGGTGATAATTTACATCATTCTAAAGACTGTTGAATTCCTTTGTAAAATCCATAAATAATACATGAACAAATATACTTTTTACCTTGACGTTGTTATTAAAGTTTATATACTTAGATCACTGAAAGTTGTTAAATATTATTTACTGCTTAGTTCCTGCTTTGAATTTAGCAATTACATTGTTGTTGGTTCTATTCATCGCAGTTCGTGAAACTCAATTAACACACTGAAGTCTTAAGTTACATGTTAGAAATGGTTCTTTCAGTTAGAGAACGAATATACTACTCAGTAGTTCGGTGTACATGGTTGCTCAACAGATATTTTGACCTACCTGCTAGTGCTTCTATAGGGCTTGGAAAAAGCTCTCGAAAATCTATGAAAGGTTGAGTCTTCTTCAGGTAGATAGCATGTTGGGAAAAACAGTTATTTTCGAATAGAGTAGTAGTGGCAATAAGAGTGATCTAAGGTCGGGACGGTTTTTGACCAATTCTAAGCATTCAAATTATGCAGTATTGTGGGTGTTTAGACTGTCAATTCACTGTCCTAATCTTTAAAGACCATTTAAATATTCTTTTGCTTGTAGTGGAACGTAAGATATCATCGCACTAGAAATTTATACTTTCGAGGTCTTTGTGTGATTCCTTGGAAAGTGAAAATAAAGTTGAGGAACAGTAACATTCCTTCTATACTTTGCCTGTAACTTTAGTTTGGTATCACTGCCTACTTTCTAGTGATCTACTTCATTTGTTCTCTTAAACCTTAATTATCTAACTTTGTTGTTCAGTATTATTGATACACGTAGTTCAGTTTCTCTGCTCTCTTCCTTATTTATTTTTCTCTCTGTACTGATATGAAGCGTCATCTTGTTTAATATTATTAATGATAGGATTGGATTCATTGTTGTTAGCAAGCTTGTAACCACTTACTATATTTATTTGGGTAAATTTTCACACAAATTCACAACCTACTCATTTTTAATCGTGATTTGTCCGTTGTCTTATATATAGAGTTAGCTTGATAGGATTGTGTTATCTCTTAATTTTACATTCATCTTCAATCCGATTTGTTGGTTTTAAAACGCTAAATATACACTTGCAGATTCTGGCTATAATCTATTCTTATTTTTGTGGTCGTAATTTTCTACTAAAGTGGTTTCGTTACAATTGAGTACGGTTTTAAAATGTCTAATCTTAAGCGACATCATTTGAAGAATTAATGAAGTCAAGAAATCCTGGACCACCCTTTTATCCCTATTTGTGTTTACAATGACTAGTTTACTCAGAATTGTTACAAACCCAAGGAACTGGTTTTAATATGGATTTATCAAAGTTTTTACTAAGAATCTCTAAGGTTGGTTTCAGATTCTCGTTGTTTGCATGGTTGGAGGTTACTCTCATGGTCTTTTATTTCCCTTCCACCTGTAGATAAAGAAGTTATTGAGTAAACCTAGGTTTCCTATGCTCCACTTCAACTGTACAACGATCGATAGATTTAAACAACTATGAAGTGAGTTTATAACATATTCACTGATACCGACTGCGATGCATTCTTGGGTGACGGGGTTGCTTCTATTGCTACTCTCATCAATTTCGCTCTCACTCAGCATTTTATTCATTTACGGCATTATGAACGCGGTTTGAAAAAAACGTCATTCATCATCACGGGAGTGTAGGTTGTAGACTATTCTTCTCTTTCTGTATGTGTGTTTGTTTCAAAGTTGAGTTGCGTGCCGCTGGGCTGGAACCATCACCGGCTTCATGGTGGATCTTCTGAACTTCAAAATACTTTAACCTCTAAATTAGATAAAAGTGATGTCATGCTTGGAATAGGCTAGCCGTTGATAATCTGCACCAACATAAACGTGGGGTTTTGGTAGATTCACTGAGGTAAACCAGAGCTTGTGTTTAAAAACGCTATCAACAGTAAGTAAGGAGTTCATAAAAAATCTTGATCAACTTGTACCTGGACCTAGTTTATTCTCATCGATTTCTACAGCCACCAGCCGTTGAAATTGTTATATTTACGATTTGGCTAGGGTTAATTTAGGGTCTTTTAAGCACCGGCTGATAAGAAATCACTGAAATTAGATGGACTAATTTACGCCATGTTTTTAAAGGTTTATTCCAATTATATTGTGCAAGTTACATAAAATATAACCTTACAAACTACAGTAAAGTGGAAAAAGCAAGTATTACGAAATGAAGTAAATTCGTCCTATCTCGTTTGCAAAAGTCTAGGGGACTAATATAAATCAGCTTACGAACACTTAGTAGGGAAGAAATCGATGTATTTGTTCTCTAATTTCTAACAATATTTTTTAAACATTACCACCCATTTAGAATCTTTATACTTATTGGCCAGCAAAGTAAATTTTGCTATATACATTTTACCAGTGAACTTGATATTTCGTACGATAAGGTAGTTCGTAAAAGCCGTTTTGTTTTTCGTCATGTAGAGAACCATCGAAGATAACAGCCAACTAAATTAGTTATCTCAATGTGTGGCTCCTCAAGAGTGTATAATCAAGCAATCTTGTATGAAATTAGATTAAAAGTTTTCACGCCACACAGTTATTGGTAACACATCAGGCTTCTATGTTCTAATCAAACTGTCCACATTTTTAAAACTAACCCTATTCTTTCCTTATGCTTATTATCTTTATCATTAATAAGTTATGATATCACATTGGTTAAAATTCAAAATATTAAGGCGTTTTAATTAAGTCAACTCCAACCAATACCCTACTAAAATTTCTTTTATTCTACTACTAGCTATCGATCAAAGGCTATGCTTAATTCACTTAGAAATAATACTCACATATAACTATTTTTTTCTAACTGTAGATGGCGACTCCTAGTTTGAAGAAGGGTACATCTAATTCAGATCTGTTAAACCGAACAGTTACCACAAATTCTAACCCAGTTAGAGCATTTTATGAGTTACCTGAGGGTGCGTCAACATCTGCTCAAATAGTCAAAGAATCAAGAGATTGGCTTCGTTCTGTTTCAACATGTAGGCCATTTACACCTAAAGATAAAACAAGATCACTATTAAA